TCCTCCCGATATTCTGTGGAATTTGTCGCAACATAATTATCTGACATCGTTGAAAAGATTATTCCGTTCTTCAATATTGAAGGGCTAAAAGTATTGGATTTGCTGACTTCTGTAAAGTATCCCAGATTATGAAAAACAAAGATCATCTTAATCAGGCAGGATTAGAGCAGATTTGTGTAATCATAGCAGGAATAAACACAAGAAGAAAGGATTAACTTTACTTTAATTCTACCGGTTATAAGGCATCATGTTCCCTCCCCAGACTTCAGTATCTATATCCCATTCATCGCTTTTAATTGATTAGCTGGACAAGTTAAATGCGAGTTCATTATAGCATTACATATTAGAGAATGTTCAACTCTTTTTAATGGTGGTTTATCCAAACATGGGAAATTATCAAAAAAAAAAAAAAAAAAAAAGATATCTCGATAATTCTAGATCATTTTTATAACTCAAAAACATGCAGACTTTAAAAGAGCTTTTGAATTCATTCAACGTAAAGAACATCATACTCCCGAAGGTTTCCGTCAAATTTTAAGTACTAAATCTGATATTAACTTAGGAATTTCAGATTCTTTACAGGAAGTTTTCCCAGATATTGTTCCTGTGTAAAGACCTAAAGTAGATCAAGAAATCTCAGATCCTAACTGACTAGCTGGGTTTGTAGAAGCCTTTCACTCAAAAAACAAATACTTAGTAACATGAGGTACTAATTTACAATCAACAGTAGGTGTGAAATTTACTAGGGCTCATTTAGCGATGATAAAACTTGTTTCTTATAATCGTTATATTATTGTATGATTATTATTATCTGATGGGTTTTTTGCCTTTAGTAATTCTCGGAGTAAGAATGCGCGTTTAGGATTTAAACAATCGTTATCTCATTCTCAATATGTTTTATTTGTATTTAATATATTATCTCACAATTGTGGTAGTAGCCCTAGTTTAAAAAGCGGTATTAGAGCAGGAAATTGATTTTATGGTTTAGAATTCTTTACTCGATCTATGCCATGTATTACTGAATTATATTCTATATTTTACCAAAATAGTGCCTCAGAATATTTATGAACTTTTAACTCCTGTATATCTAGCACACTTAATCATGGAGATGGATCTGTATCACGGCACGGTTTAATTCTATGTACTGATTCTTATTCAATAGAAGATACTATTCGATTAATAAATGTACTTATAATTAAATATAGATTAGAATGTAAATTACGAGCTCATAAAAAATATAAAAAAATTCTATGTCTTTGCTTCAACGCATTTTAAGGCATCACATGCACTCTTCCATGCTTTATAAATTAGGACCCCTTTTATAATTAAAAATTGTTGAAGGATGCTTTTATGTTTATATCTCAAAATCTTCATCGTCCCGCTAAGGAGCTTGAGTTTATTTAATATTTCAAATAACTCAGCATTCACGTGATGCTCAATTAGTGAAAAGCTTAATTTATTACTTAGGCTGCGGAAGGTATAAAACAACTTTCAGGCTATAATCGTGGGAAATTCCTCTAACAAGATTTTCTGATATAGCTGAAAAGATAATTCCATTCTTTAAAAAGTATCCTATTCAGGACTCAAAAAAGACT